CTTCAACAAGTAAACGGAAGTGCTGATTGTAATGTCAAGCGGTTTTGCACCGCTCTTGTAGTCGAGAACTGATGCAGAGATTTACCTATGCAAAACAAGTTTGACTATTTAAGTTATTGAGAGAGAACTTTCACGGGTTTTCCGCTTCCTTAACAAACAAGCTGTTTTGTAGGGCAGCGTCATCTATACTTTACCTATTGATTTAGGAGTTACCTGACGAGAATGGTTTGGGTCACTCCAAGATCGGTAGATATCAGGCTTGCTTGGAGGGGATGGGGGATGAGGAAGAAGGGATGAATGCACAAGTTTGTACGGCAACAGATCATTGGAATTTTTTATATGAACCGAATGCCCATTGACTTGACAATCCTGAGTGGCAGCAACTTCATCCGATTTTTTTCAAGTTACAAGCTACTAGGTAAGTAGAGTCCCAAAAATGAAGTGGCTTGGAGTTCGCCACCTTGTCTTTCTCACTCTTTTAGTCCTAAAATAGGCATTTGGAAAAAACATTCTCGTAAAGAACTACTAACTGATGAGTTATCGATGATTACTTGAGGCTTGTTCAGAAATTCTGCGTGAGGTATATACCTAACAGGCTTTTCATGGTTTCTGAAGATTCCTCGGATTTGATTCGTGAGAATGCGAATAGACTAGGGAGAAACGCAAAGTGACCTTTTTGATGAACGTTACCCTTCAGATGCACCAAAGAAGACTAGGTCGAAGCAGTGTCCGGAATTCAAGGCCGTTGTTTTTAGTTTTTTTCCTAAATGATCAAATCCAAGCTTCTCTTCTGCCAGAAGATAATTAACCCAAATCCGAACTTACCTGCTTTGCTTCCGAGATCTGGAAACGTACTTTTGCCCCAACTTGTCCATGAAGCCATCATAAGCAAGCTTTTATGAGGTAAGCCTCGTATTATTCTTTTATTCCCTGATCGAAACACATCCATCAAATGACCTTCCCACCTCTTCCTGCAGTCCTACCAGAAAATCCTCATTTCATTGTTCTCCCGTTATCCTGAAATGGTCCCCAATTTCCGTTACGTCCCTCATGTTATGCAGCACATGTCGGCAAGCGATTAATTCAAGAGGCTAAATCACTCAAGGCCCTAAAGGGGTCGTGAAGGTCCTAGATGGAGCTTACTGTATACTGATGTGCGTGTTCCATAATGAAGTGGTCATGCTAAGCACTCAATGGTCCCCTAGTGGCTTGCGATGAAGTTTTAATTAATCCCTGGCAAAAGGGGNAGCGATTAATTCAAGAGGCTAAATCACTCAAGGCCCTAAAGGGGTCGTGATGGTCCTAGAGGGAGCTTACTGTATGCTGATGTGCGTGTTCCATAATGAAGTGGTCATGCTAAGCATTCAATGGTCCCCTAGTGGCTTGGGATGAAGTTTTAATTAATCCCTGGCAAAAGGGGTATGCGCAATGACCGCTCATTGAAGTTCTGCTACAATCGCACTTCGGCTAAAGTGGAGGGACAAGAGTGGATGAGGGGGAGGACAAGGCCGGGGTGGGGTCACTCGATGGACTTTACGAATTCCAATAAGAGAATAGGTCCTGAATGGATTTCTTTACTGCGTCGGAAAATTTCTCCGAACTTCCAGAAACCGGAACGAAAACGGATCGACTTTCGAATTCCGATTTCTGGAGGATTCAAGGATGTTCTTCATCTCTCTACGTTTCCCACTCCGTTCCTTTCGATTTCCACAGCGTGGCGATTTTTTTTAGGAAGGATTGGTGGAATGGATGCTTTATAGAGATGTAATGGCGATGAATACGACTTTTTTCTTGTGTGTCATCTCCATTTCATTGTCACAGTGGTGATTTATTAAAGACTGACGGATCGGAGCGACTGCTGACAGAGCCGACGATCAGAGTGCATGTTTTGAGGCGTTAAACACATGGCATGTGATGAACATATGGCTGCCATGCGATTAAATGGTCCGAATTTAAATCGGTCTGATTGAAAGACTCGTCTATTTGTCTGTCAGGCAAGGGTGGCCACTGCTGCTGACCTCATTGTTAGGGAGGGGACAGGTGCAACAGCAACGCTCAGTCGTCGACTGGCAACAAAGTGGGTAGGGGTTGTCAACAACTGAATAAAGTGTAAGATAGGTGTGAGGTGAAGCAGAGGTGTTGGCAACCAGCCAGAGAATATGGCTCTGCGACATTCTTCTGAATTGTCGCATTTACAGATAAACAGTATGTGAGCCTGTTTATCTGGATTGATGCCCTTTTGGGTGTATGCCGTTCCTTAAAAAATTGATTTTGGCGGCGGAGCCAATTGCTTTTTTTTTATATTTACTTAAACTTACTTACAAAAGTATTTTGCCACTATGAGAACACCGGAAAATCCCTTTCGATTACATGGAAAGTCAATTTCCATTAGAGATAGGGGTTGCGCATTGGTCAAGGGCGCCCACATGACTGACATCATTAATGGATGAAATCCCAATGACATCGAGTTTATCTCTTTGTTGTTGTCGCTTGTGAAGACACCTTACCGACCCTACCCCAGCACATCTACCTTAGTCATTACAGGTAAAAGATGCTTAGAGCTCTTTAGAAAAACACCAAATCATTCAGCTTGTCTCTGAAATGGGGGAAGGGGGAGGGGATAGGGTCAGTCTTGTGGGCTCCCTTACCCACCTCATGAAAATGGAACTAATTGGTGAGAATTAAAATTGAAAATTGTAGTGGAATTGAAAAGGAAGCGGAAAATCTACCCAAAGTTCCCAGGGAACAGTAGCGGACCGCAATATTACGTGGGAAGAACGAACTTCTGGGCTTCCTTGCACCTGCACGTCCGTAATTTCGCGTCGATACTGTCCGTGACCTCTGCACTTTGTGAACTCTCTCTGTGGCGATCAGAGTCGAACGGCTGAGGCTAATGCTCGGGTGAGAGCTTTTGTTTCGCGCAATTTACTCGGTTCGGTTGAATACCCATTGTCGGCGTCTGTCCAGCTGCCATGTTGTCTAGGCCATTTTGATAGACGTCAGTCATTCAGAAGCGCGACTCGGCTCATCATCATAGTACTCGCGGACTTACTCTATAGATTCCAACGATTCGATATTCTCGCTGGGCAGATTTGGATGTTTGGCCCGAAGCCAGGCGCCTGTCCACTTTCATTAACAGCTGTTCGCTGGTCATCCATCATCACTGCTGTTGCAAAGATTGCTCCACTTCCGTCATTCTCTCGCTTGTCCTCTTTTTTCTGAAGGTCGAAGTCCTGGCAGGTTCTACTGCTCCTAAACTCGGAAATTAAAAAATCTGTTTGAAGTTTTTACTGCTTTTGGACCAGAAAAGTAAACAAAAACTACTCGCCGCTAAGAATTCTGTGGGAGCCAAGTCTGAGAAGATTACCTAAGGTCCACCAGGCTCATTGTTTAATTGTGCGTGTGATTGTGTGCGTGGTGTGTTTCCTGGCAACGTTCCAAAAACCAAAGCCTATTCTTCTCGTGGTTATCCACCCATGTCGTGACTCAGACGGACTAATGATGAGATCAAACCGGAAGATTGTTGCTCTGTTTCGCAAGTTCCTTTTGCACAATGGCTGGCCTTTATCTGTCCACTGAACTCTCTTAGCTAATTTTGAACATGTTTCGAAGGCTATAGATTTTTGGATTGCGCCATGAGCTTTGCATTTGGTTGAAATAAAACGATCCGGTTGATATAAGATATACGCCTTCTGGGACTAAGGAGAGGTTTCTTGTCTGA